AGACCCAGCGAGCGAGCGCCAGTCCTCCTTTGCCGCTCCCTCCCAGCGGGACCCCTCCCGCACTGCTTTGCCTTTTGTTCTTTCTTTTTCCTTTTCGCCTACCAGATTTTTGGCATCTTAATCTTTTGAAGAGGGCGATGATCTGTCGGAGTTCCGCAGGTGCTCTGGTTGGCTGAGTGGGTCTGTAGATGTGGGTCTGTAGATGTGGGTCTTGGTGTATTTGTGGGAGAGGGTGACTTACAAGAGTCCTTCTACTCCGCCATCTTGCCTCTCCCCAGGAAGCTTTGTTTTAAGGATAGCAAATAAAATGATAAGAGAAATCACCTTAAAAATAACCATCTGCATAGGGGTGACCAACAAGTCATGTTGAGTAAACTGAAAAGATTGCTGAATTCAGATGTTTGGGTTTCCAGGGACAGAGTAAGGTTATACGCTGCAGGGGAAAGAACCTTGTTCTTTCAGTCAGATGACTGAGTCTTTGCTCCACCACTTACTAGCTATGTGGCCTTGGCCAAATTATTTCATCTCTGAAGCTCAGTTTCCTTTTAGAAAATGGAGATAGAAATCTCTACGTAACATAAAACGATGAAATTAGATTGTTTACGTGACAGCATTTATAAAGTGACATATAGGGTATTATCATAAAATGTGCTTGGTTGACTTTTCAGTTTGTATATTGATTACTGAGTATTCCTATGACTGATAATTTCAGTGTATTTTTAGTCTCATTTTAGTCAAACAACTGGAGTGAAACATAAGAACAACATTGGTTTTACTTATTTCTGGCAATTAATTGATTTCTGTAGAGGAATTCTCTATCTAAAAATAATGATGATAACATTATTTGGGTTTTAAGTATTTTATATGCAATCTCTTATGAATCTTTATAAAAAGCTTGAGAGGTCGTTAATGGGCATTTATTTATTTCTTTTTATCTGCCTAGAATATCATCCACCCAACCTTTTTTCGAGGAAGCCTTCCTTCCTACTCTTTAACCTCATGGCTTGAATGAAAGCTGACATCTTCTAGATCTGGCCCCAGGCTACCACTGATTCCTTGTTCTTTTGAATTGGAGAATAGAGGGTTAAACCCTAAGTCCCTCTTTAATAGTGGAGTTGGACATTATGAGCTTGAATGTGTTCAGAAGCAGTGTGGAGGAAGCCAGTCTGAGAGAGCGAGGCCAACAAAGAGGCAAACGATGATGAAATACAGAGAGAGAGTGAGAGGGTCACAAAATCCTTGTGGTGTTTGAAACCATGTCGAGTCATTCTAAGGCCATGTGCAGCCTTTTCTCTTTCAATTATTTGGTTATGTAAGCCAATAAATTTCCCCTGTAGAAGCCAAACCAAAGAGGCTTAGGTCACTTGAAACTGATAGGTTGCTGGCTAAGGTTAGATAAGTGTGACAGTTGAGGAATGTAGAGCTCAAAGAGGCTGGTTGACTGACATGCCCATTTTCTCATAGTTAGTGAGAGACAGTCACAGGATTAGAATCCAGGTTAGTATTTGTCTTCAGAGCTTGTCTTCTTAACTACTGCTGATCTTTCCCTGATAGCTTGCCTTTTCCAATTGACAAAGAAGATGGAACTGGGGACAGGGGAGATGGCAACCTGAGCTTGGACCACCACGGGCCCTCCTTTCCTCTGAAAGGGATTACCCAGCAGCAAAAAGAAGGTATTCAGATGGTGAAAAAGGTGATGATGTCTTTAGAAGGTGAAGATGGGCTGGATGAAATTTATTCCTTCAGGTAAGAAGTGAAAACATTGTTACAGCTTTTAGTCGTAAGCAGAATAATTCCTCTTTTGATCAGAAGACTCCCTAGTGCTTTTCCTTTCCTGGGCCACTCTTGAATTAGCAGTTATTCTTTAATATATATTCCAATTTTTATTAAGGAAATGGTACACCAGCCCCTAGTCCCTTTTTTAAGTTTGTGTTATTGGCACAAGATTTCTTGTTTATTTCTAGGACTGTGGCAGTGGGGTTTGGAAATATATAGATACCACGAAAGATTTAACAAGTCAAATTTTTAATGATGAGGTGGTAGATTTCTTCTTTGTGCCAAGCTCGGGGCACATTTGTTGGGCCCTCCCTTTTTATCCACTTGAGAATATTCTTAATTATAAAAAGTAATGTCATATCTGAGATAATAATATATTCTTATCCTCTGATTGAGGTTTTGGGAGGCAGTATACTATAATATAGTGATTTTTTAAAAAACTTCTGGTCACAAAATAGTTTGGTAAGACAAAACCAAACCAAACCAAACAAAAAAGACTGAAAATGTTAAGAATTTATAACCTACTTATTCCTGTGGGCTTTGTAAAGGCAAAATGATTTAAGAAATTTGTAATCCCTGAAGGACCATAGAGCAATAAAGCAAGCTGCTTTTCTCAGCCATGCAGTTAGAGACTGTGGAAGAGACAGTCTCCTTTATTCATGTTATTCTTGGTTAGAATTGGATATACGCTTATTTTGAGGAAAGAACCTGAAAGGGGTCCATAGCATCTATAACAGTATGTTTTGAGGGACCAGATTTGGTAAAAGAGTGGCAATAGAATACTTTACCACAAAGCACGGATTGTGGATTTTCAGACTCTCAGGGATAATACCACTTAATGTTAAAGAATTCATTCTAGTTTATTGATAAATACACAAAATATAAGCATTTTAAGCAAAGTTCTTAATTGAAGTAAAGGTTCAATTGAAGTAAAGTTTCAACAGATATTTTTGGAGTAACTGTAATGTATATATGCTCTAATTTTTCTTCTCAGTCACAATTTTGGAATATTTGTGGGGAGCTGTACTTGACAAGCAATACATCCTGATTTTCTAATTATACATACTTTTGAAAAATTGCAGGTAAATGGGAATTTCGGAAATTGAATTGTAATTTCCCAAGGGGTTGGCTAAAGAATCAGTGAGGAATCCTGTAAAGTAACATTTCTTGTCATAGAGTGTGTGTTCTTACTGCAATGCATGCGAATATGTTTTCCTTAATTATTCTTTCAAATTTGGACATGGCTTGCTTTAATGTGGGAATACATATCTTAAGATAACATATTCACCATGATATTATAGAGAAGAATTATAGGCCACTAAAATTACCATTAAAAAAAGTTTATTTTCCTATAACATAGCAAGGAGGAAAATTACTATTTGTTGTCCTAGCAATTTGAAGCTGCTTGGATTTAAGTCTGCCATGAAGATGTGGACCAGCACTTTGCCATCCAGTATATTACCCATCATCCACATGTGGCTATTTAAATTTAAATTCATTAAAATTAAGTAAAATAAAAAATCTAGTCCCTCAGTCACACTCGTCATTAGTTCAAGTGCTCACTAGACTATTGGACAGGCACAGTTAGAAATAGAACGTTTCACTCATTGCACAGAGTTGTGCAGGACAACACTGGACTAGACTTGTCCTCATCTAGAAGACCAATAGAGAAAGGTAACTTGACTTCTAATTAGGGAGGTTCAGATCTAGTGCAGAGCTCATCCAGTTGTTCTCAGCTGTTACGTATAAGATACTGGTCTTTAGAATTTCACCTGGAACAGAATCCAAACCTCTTGATAGTTTTAGACTGACTTATACTTGGACTGGCAATGTCGTATGAGACAGGTAAGACTTGGTTTCATACCTATTCACTCCCCAGTGAATCCAAAGTCAAGATGTACCATAGGCTTTGGAGAAGGGTATCAGGTAGAATATCTACTATCCTTGTAAATTATGTATGAAAATTGGAGTCTCTTGAGACCTCTTTGTCCACAACTCTGAGTAATGTCACATAATCCTTAGCAAATACCACAAATTCCACCCATCTCCTATAATTTCCTCTGTTGTGTTTGATTAGGGACCAGATGAAAATAGAATTGATCTTCACTAGTATTCAAATGAAGTAGTACTCTACATTGTGTTTGCTACTTCCCAATTCCTCTTCCTGCCCAGTAAGAAATCTAGAGTTATCTGCTTTACTTTAAGACTGAATATGGACTGCTAAGTTCCTTTATCCCACAGAGAGTCATTATTTAACTTTCTTCATTGTATGCATATACACCTTTTATCTTTTATTTCAGAGAATTGAAATTAACTAAAGAATTAGAGTTGTGAACAGTGATGTTATAGGATGGTGCTCACCCTTTGATATCCTAGAGCAGGGCTTTTTATCCTCAGGTCCTTGGTTTTCAGGGAGTTGGTGTGTACAAACTGATTTATGAATGTGCCTTTATCATATCCTCACAGTGTCCTTGGTCCTGAAAAGAATGTTAAGAACAACTGGCTGAGCTGAAAGAAAAGATTGAATAGGGGAAGATAGAGATGTTCTGTTTCACTTGACAGTAAAGGAATTCAGCTCCTTCCTCCTAAGCCAGCTCATTTATATTCTGGCTCTTTCCCAGCTGATGGTTGCTACAAGTTTTCCTTGCCATCCTCTGCTGTTCCTCTCTTTATAATCAACATCTCACTTCTCATTCTAGAAAACTAAATGCAACATCCAACACAGGCTAACGTTTTAAAATTGTTGCTTTCATCATACATTTTTCTTTATTAAGTGAGAGTCTGAGGCAACTGTGTGTCTTTAAGAAAATTGAGAGGTCTTCCGTGCCCTGGCCTTGTCAACTGACCATTGGCTCCAATTTGTCTATAAAGATTGTGGCTTATAAATCGGTAAGTGGTAGGTACATGTTTTTTAAAGAAATGTTATCAGGCAGACAAATATGCTTATATAAGGAACTGACAATTCATGTGTGGGTTACTCAAAGCCATAATTACTACTTCTCTAACTGCTCTCCCTGTTCATTTCATCTCTGTTTAGCTTTTATGTGAAAGGCATGGTAGGAGAGGAAGTTTTAAGAATTGTCTATAATAGAGGTTGATTCCTTACTCTCTCTTTCTCTCCTTTGACAACTGATCGTTAATCATGAGTTTCAGGCCTTTCTCGTTCTCTCTTTCTCTTTTAAAGAGAGAAAATGAAATGCATTAAGTTGTGTCATTGTAGTATCATAGCAGAAATACAGATACACACCAGAGATAAGTTCAGCGTTTTGAAAACTCAGTCACATCTAATTCATTTATTAATGATCTGATAGTAACAACATCTATGAGATATCAAAAGATGTTAACTTGTTAGTGTGACATTACTTTTTGTAATATACATACATTTGTACATAATAGCACACTTTAAAAATGAGTTGCTCTTGATAATTATTTGATAAAATTCCAGTTTGAGTATAAGTTTGTGGCTCATGCCTCAACCTGGCCCTCCTTGCCTTTTTTCTTTAAATGTACAAAATAAATACATGAAAACATGTTTTTTATATATTGAAAGACTTAATTCCAAAACACATTACATGCATGAAAACCATGGAGGTACTTCTTTATTTTGGGTTCCATCAAGTCTAGAATAGCATCCCCGGGAATAAAAATTTAGTCTCCTTCCTTCCTTTTTTTTTTCCTAGTCTCTTTTTCATATTTCCTTATTGATTTCTGCTTGCTTTCCCTTTCTTCTCTATTAGAAAACTGTGATAACAAAATACAAAATCTGGAGGTTTTGTATAGAGAGTGTTGGAATAGCTACAGATATTTATCTATGGATTACCCTGGGAAAAAGTGAAATATAGAAAGAATTATAAGATAAACTAAAATTTCCACAATAGGCAAGAGATGACAATGTAGCTAGAGTAATTGTTCTGGATTTTTTTTCTGTAAAGCAGAGAGTATATTAGGTTTTTATCTTTTGTCATTCAGAATCCTAGCTTTCCTTGTTTTCCCTTTATTTTTCTTTTGGAAATCAGATTCTTCAGGAGAAAACTAAGAAGTCTTGGACAGTTGTAGATGCAAGAACCCTAAAAAAAGAAGATATACGAAAAGAAACAGTGTTTTGCTTGAATGATGATGATGAAACTGAAGTTCCAAAAGAGGATACTATTCAAGGTATTATGCCAATGAGAGTTTCACTTCTGCCTCAAAGATTTTCTTCAAGATGATGTGAAGCAGGCTAGGTTTTATATTGTTATTTGTTGAGAGACACAGCCATCGTGGGGGGACCCTGAGACACTGGGTCCTTTAGCTCATCTATTGGGTCTTAGGCAGGATGGTTCCGAGGCAGAAGTACACTCGGGCATTCGTCTCTGTGGGTTTTAAATGTCTCAAGTGACAGGACTTCATACTTGGCTTTGTTTTAAAGTCTGAAGCTTACTAGCTAGGAGAATACTTGTATTAATGTGACTGTAGCAGGTTTTTTGGTTTATCTTTGACTTCAATGATGATCATTTTTCTGAATGCCATTTTCAGGTCTTATATCCTGCCAGATTGGCTTCCTTAAGGAATTAAGAGGATAAGAAAAATCCTCTCTGTTTGTCATATTGCTTTATGTTCACTGGGATCTTTAGAGTTGTACTTTATATATTTACACCTATTTGATCTGCATAGTGTATCTAGATGGCAAGATGGCTTAGAAACTGGCTAGGAGTGTCTGAATGTTCAGGAGCTAAAATGATAAGATACCAAATGATGGTTAATGTAGAAACCAGGGTCTTTTAAAAAATTTATCACCAAACTGTGTGCTACTCTGTATAATTTTAATTTGCAAGCCTTGAAAAAAATTTCTTTCATCTGTGACACTGTATTGCAGTATTAGTGTATATTTGTGTGTGTTGCAGGAGTTGTAAGGGGGTTGGGAGAGTAATTAAAGGCGATGGTGATTATAACTCCTTTTTCTCTCCTGATGGATTATGTTTAGAATGTGAATAACACCCCAGAATCTTTACTAATTCTTTAATTCAACTCAGTAGTAAGTGTAGTTAAGAACAGAAATTTTAGAGTCAGGCCTTGGTTAGAATCATGGCTCCATTACTTGCTAGTCATTTGATCCTAGTATAATGACTGGCCTGTCGTAGGAAGCATAGCATGATTAAGGGCATAAGACCAGGGAAGCAGAGGGCCTTCTCAGTAATACCGCATAGTTGGGTGGGTGTATTGGGCATACGCAGATTCGTACTCTACATAGTATCTGATAGACAGCCTGCATTTTCTCTTTTAATCTTCGCAACAACCACTAAAGTTGGCAATCTTGTTTCCATTTTATCAGTAACGGAATTGAGGCTGAAAGACATTAACGTAGACAAGGTCACATAGTTAACAACTGGTAGAATTTGAACCCAGGACTGTCCTACTGGAGAGTCTGTGTTTCTACAAACTATTCTAAATTAGGAAGGGCTTTGAATGATAGACTGAAGAGTTTATGCTTAATTTTGAAAGCAACATGGAGCTGTCTATAAGTTTTGAGGAGCAGAGTGTCACTGGGGCTGTGTTTTAGGAAGATTAATATGATATCTGGGTATAGGATGGGTTGGAAGGAGAAGGGACTAGTGATGAGGGTGCTGATTCTTTTGGTTGCAGGTGAAGAAAGCAGCTCTGGTTATCTTAGGCAAGAAGCAAATGCATTGATGGAGTAATGGAAAGGGAAGTTTTAAACGTTTCAGTTCAAAGAGCATAGGTGTGCAGCTTTTCTCTCTTACTTTTTTACAGTTACTCACAAACTTCCTTTGCCTGCCCTCCACTCTTAGACAGACTAGTATATATGAGCAAAGAAATATGGCCATATTATGTTGTAGTCTGTTCTTTACTTTTTGCCATGTATAAAAGGTAGAGTTATTGATTTTCTTTAAATAGATGAACCAGAAAACATAAGCCAGTTTTAGTCTGAATTTTCAGGTTACTGTTGAACAATTCAAGTAAGATGTCTCGAAAAACATTTGGTTTAGATACCATGTTTAATATGTGTCATATGTATCCCTCTTAATTTTTTGTTGAAATTTTTGTTTTTACCATCAGCTTTTTAAAAAAGACATATGTGAAAATAGATATTTTCTTTTTAATTAAATACATGGCATGAACAATGCGAAAGGAACTAATAAACACTGAATCACAGAGTCTACCCTCAACCACACAAGTTTCTTTGTTTCTTGGGGTAAAGATGCATGTGCTTTTCATTTGCCCTAGGTCAGAATCCTTGGATTTTGATGATCCTTCTCCCCACTAAACTTGTAAGACTATATATTAAAAGGACATGACATTCCATAGAGCAGAGGCCTTGGAACAGGGTTGGAGTTTTTTTAAGGAGCCAAGAGCCTATATCTGTATGAATAACCTAAGTAATTAAAAAGAAAAAAAGTAGATAATCCATTCCCAGAAACAAAATACATTTAAATGCAGAAAAATATCCAACTTATCAGTTGAATGTTTCTAAATAGAAGAATTTTGGCTTCTTCCATTAGGCATTTGTGTATCTCCGGCATGCATCTTTGAGAACATTTTGTTCTGAAAATTTCCTGTGTGCATTTTTCTCTGTGGGTCTCCAGGTTTCTGAATGAGTGCGTTCTTGTTACTATGTTTACAAATCATGATTGTCCTTTACTCAACCACGGTTTATCCTTGGAGGATAACTAGCACATTGCATTTGCTGCATTCTTTCTTCTAGGCTGGATAATCATTAACGTAACTAGATTGCAGAATACGCTCCTTAAAAAATATAATTAGATTTTAATCATTTCTATATTGTGTATGTTGTTTGTGGATCTGCTGCTTTTTCCCCATTGGTCATAAGGGGCAGAAATCTGGTTCCAGGGGACAGTATATGGAGGCTTGATCCGGAGTGTGCATGTATTGTTAATGCATGCGTAGGGCCAATTTCAGCTTGTAGAAAATGAGGCCCCATGTGCTTAACAGATGCTCTTCTCTTGTTCTCTAGGGTTTCGCTATGGGAGTGATATCATTCCTTTCTCTAAAGTGGATCAGGAGCAAATGAAATATAAATCGGAGGGGAAGTGCTTCTCTGTTTTGGGATTTTGTAGATCTTCTCAGGTACAGTGCTCATTCTCCTAATCGTAAACAAAACAAAGGAGCTTTTTCTCATTATTATTGGAGATGGTATGCTTTTGATTGGGCTTTTTGTTTATAATATATATTTGTTTCACTTAAAGTTTTTCTAAAATGTGATCTGGAGTATTTCTTTTTCTTTTAACTTTTAATTTTATTTATTTTGGGGGAGGCGGTCATTAGGTCTATTTACTTACTATTAGTTTGTTTATTTGTTTGTTTTAATGGAGGTAGTGGGGATTGAATCCCAGACCTCTACCACTGAGCTCTACCCTCCCCCTCAGGTCTGAAGTATTTCTGTCTTTGAGTTTTGTTTGTTTTTGTTTTGTGAGGGGAGATAATTAGGATTATTTATTTATTTTAATGGAGGATTTAATGGGAATTGAACTCAGGACCTGGTGAATGCTAAGCATGCCCTCTACCACTGAGCTATACCCTTCCGCTATCTTTGATTTTTGAAGATAAAATCCAAGATACAGAGAAGTCAGCATGAATCAGAAGAATAGATTCAATTAAAAGTCACTTAGCTTTGCTGCCCGTCGTAGCTCTTAGCAGTCTTAAAGAAATAGCATCCAGTTCTTTGTTATTGTATTGCTTTCTCCAAACTGTTATGTGTACTGGAGTGTTTTATAAGAATGAAAGTCTAGTTGGGTTTTACATGACCATAGACCTCTTTGAGTATCATTGATTTATGCCAGTCACCCTTCTTCTCAATGCCCAAGAAAGAGGTCTAAGGTCTGAAACTTGTTCATAAGTTATATATTTTTTAGACAGCAATGCAGAGATACAAAATAGACATAGTGGGACATGCAGTAACTCACTGAAGGCCATGGGATACCATATTCTATCCTAGAAAGGGTCATTAAAGATTCCCAGAGGTCTTAGGTGAAATGTTTTTGAGGTAGGCAACCAATGAGAGTGAATAAGTAGAAAGTGCATCTTTTCAGGCTCTGGAGGGATGAAGAGGTTTTTGTTGGTTCTAGAAGACTCAAGTGAGAATTATAATAAAAATAAATATTACCCAATATATTGAATTTGAACTTCTTCATGTTGCACTAAGCATATAATCCCTGTGTGATTCAGTGTTAGAGTAAGTCAGTGCAGTTGAGGAGAATGTTTTTCATTATATGCCAAAACTGTTAGATACATTTTAAGACTCATAAGCCCAAAACTGGGAATATTTACTCAAAGTCAGTACATTTTAATAGTGGTAATAAATACTTTTTGGAAGTTGAAAGTCTCTAACAATTCTCCAAGAAATTACACTAGATGTACTTTTCTCTAAAGTTACTCATTTGGGGAGGTGTATAAACTTAAAACTTATGGTTAATAATGAATCTTTTCATTGAAACAGAATGACCATTCAGATCTATTTGTAGAAACTGGCCTATTGGGAATTGGCTCTGTCTAATTCCAGATAGGCAGAAAAGACCTTTCCAAAACACCTGCAAGTGTACTTCAGGACTCAAAAAACTGAAATCACTTGTGCCAGGGTGAGGGTGGGGACTTATTTAGTTAAATGACAAAGCAAGAAAGAGTGAGATGAACAGAAAGCACATTTTTCATTTTAAAGGATTTTTCATTAACTTAAAATTAACTTGTAAGTCATGAAGTGTTTTCTAAATCAACTTTTTGTTTTAAGCTCTAAATTATTTTTATCTTAAGCATAATATCAGACAGGTAAAATGAAGATAATCATAATAACTACCATTGAGTGATTATAATATTCCAGTCACTATACCAAGCATTTTATATAAATTTTCATTTAATTTTTATTACAAGCCTCCTAGGTGGGTGCCATGATATGTATATTATACATTATGCAATTGAGGCTCAAAGCTATTAAATAACTGGCCCAAGGTCACCCAGCTAGCAGGTGGTAGAGTTGGGTTTTGAACCAGGACTCTTTTGACTCCAAAGCTTATGCCATTAAGCAGTTGTAATCTGCCCACCAGGTGAACAAACTCATTTTTGAAAAGTCTATTTTTTTACATACCTGCTTTCATGTATTGTCTTAACTGCATACACATTATCATAAGAGCAAGGTGTTTTCCATACCAACAAAGGTAAAATATAGGTATGTACCTTTTAATAGACTAGTAATTATCTTAAAGTTAATAATATCATATATTTTTCCAGATTCCCTTAAACTGAGGGATACTGACATTTCTGGATTGAATTAATATGAAACTTTTCATTATATAAAATAGGCTTCTTTTTTTTTTTGAGTTGTGAATTACTCTTCTCTTTTAAATTTTCAAAAGTCTTCAATTTGTCTTCTTCCAAGTTGTCAGTGTTCATATCTAATTATAGGCTGAATAAGAATTTAGCCAGAATTTCCCCAAATGTCTGATTGCCCTTTGAGAAGTCATTTAGGTGCCTTAGGGAAAGATATCATTAACTGTTGTTCAATCAGTCAAGAACTATTATGGATTCTAACAGGAGGGCAAATCTGTATGAATGTAGCAAACTAAAAATATAGGATTATTCTCATATGTCTTCAAATAAAGGTTTTCAAATGGGGGATGGAAGTGAGGGATGGACGGTATTTGAATCATATGGGCCTCACCCACACACCTTTGAGACTCCGTCTTCTTGAGCTGCTGTTACTGTGTGAAAGTGCTCAGTTTCTCGCTTTAGAGGTGGGAGGGCAGAAGACATGTGAGAAGCATTGCCCATACAGCATATAGCACGTTCTTAAAAGTGAGCTCTGGGCTCAAGATCTCACAGATCGTAGAGACGCTAATCTTGGTTGGTAGATGCAGGTGGTTATAATACTAGGAACTCTTCAGTATCCATTTTCTGATCTTTGGCTCCTCTGATACTCGGCTAGTTCAGAAACTTAAAGGACGTGTAGTACTTATTTTTGGTTTAACTGGCTTCCCTTCCTCCAGTCCTGCCCCTCTAATTAGTTCTTCACTCTAGTCTCTTTGCAGTTCATCAGTGCCTTGTCACTGCTCTTAGGATGAAGCCCAAACCACTTAACTTTGCTCACAAGAAGTTTCATGATCTGATCTTTGCTAATCTCGCTGGTCTAACTTTTCAGCTTTCTGCTTGCACTGTGGTCACACTACTCTAAAGGCAGTTCCCCAAATGTACTACATGTTTATGTCACTCCAGACTCATTCACACTATCATCTCTGCCCGGGACACTTGTGTCCAGACTTTCATTGTAGTTAGTTCCTTTACATCCTGTAAGTCTTGACTTAAGTGTCACCATTTGCAGAAACTTTCTGTGACCCTCCCTGTGACCAAGCTAGATGGCCTTCTTATGTGCTCTTGTGGCACTGCACTGTAATACTGTACTCTTGTGCACTGGAAGCCCTGTGTGGTAACAGTGCATTGCAGTTAATTTCATGTTTATTTATCTAATCTCCTCAAGACATAGCTATACCTATTCATTAGTGTGTTTACAGTGCCCAGAACAATGTTTGACATAAACTAGGTGCTCATTTATTTATTGTGCTCAATTGATTTGACCCTTAAGTAGTAAGTTGTTTCTAGTACCAATGAATGTTTTACAGTAAGAGCATTTTGAATAGAATTTCTTAGTAACTTGCAACTTTATGGTTTTTTGTGTTTCTTATTTTGGATCAAAACCAGTTCTTTTCCTCACTTACTCTTGTAGGTCCACAGGAAATATTTTATGGGAAATCAAGTTCTAAAGGTCTTTGCAGCAAAAGATGATGAGGTGAGTTGACAGTGGGTCTTTGAGGTAATGCCACAGGATTGAATTGTCATTTTAAGTGAGTTGTTTGGGGCTTTTATAGTTTCAAATGACATTAACTCTTGTAACAGTAGCGGGAAAATTCACTGACCTTTAACTCTGAAAGTGGAGAAATGATGAATGAATGGGTCATAGCATGGGCACAAGGCCTGAGGACATAGTGCTGCAACTGAAGGCCAGGTGAGTATTAAAAACCAAAACATTTGAACAAATACACTTAGGTATAGGAATCTTATGGTCACATGTTCAGGAAGGCTGGGGTCAGGTTAAATTTTTCATTTTCATAAATAGCACATTTAGTGTTGGCTTAAGCATCCTGGAGATGAGCCTCCCTGGCTCACTGGACCATGTCCATCACTGAGATATATGTCTTATCTCCCTCCCTTCTCCCTTTTCATTCTGTTTCTACCTCCCGAAGAGAGTCTGTTTTCAGGCTGGTTTCTGCCTGGCTAACAGCTCACAACTGTTGCATCCTACACTCACACCTGCCCTGTCTATAAATATTTTCTATGTAGTCTTCAAGTCAAAACTTGTTATTTCTAGAGATATTGATGTTGACTGGAAGATTACCATCTAGCGTCTGTTTAAGACTATTTAAGCAGATCTCCAAGCTCCAGGAGTTACTTATACTTGGAAGTGGTAAACTAGACGTGGCAGGCTGGTTTTACTTATACTTGGAAGTGGTAAACTGGACGTGGCAGGCTGGTTTGGGGTGGGGGGAAGGGTAGTGATACAGTCCTCTTTTTCTCCTCACTTCTGAAGGATAGCTGACTGCTGATTTAGTGAAAGCATATGCTATTGTTCTGTTAAAACCTGAAACTGGGAGAAGGAAATGCTTGGCTTCCTCTTAGTACTGAACAGATTCACTAGAGCACAGTAGGTGTTTGCGAATCCTTAGATTTGAGACTCCGAGTTCATGGATTTCTCCTGAGTCAAATCTTTTTGGGAATCATGCAGTTCTGGTATATATTGTCAATATAACTTAACTTCATGTTTAACTTCTGCTAAAATTTTAACTCTAACTTAATGTCCCTTTACACAAAGAAAATTCTGATCACATCATATGATTGCTGGGTATGCAGTGAGGAAAGTCGTATCACAAAGCTGTGTGAAACTCCAGTGATAATCTAGACTTGCTAGCTCAGAGCAGCCTTGTGGCTTGCATGATTCAAATCCAGCCTGATACAGAGAGCCCTATAGATCACAGGGTTACCTTGAGTCACTCAGGAAAAACAATTTCATCTACTGATGGCAAAGGGCTACTCATTGGTGTAAACTCTTGACGTCACTGTCAAGGAATAATATTAACTAATAGGAGCTTTTGAGATAAGCAGAGGAGTAAAGAAACTGTCATGTGAGGACTTCAGTAAAAGACTGCGTGGAGTAGACTTGTGCAGGTAGGTGGGGGAGTAGGAGGGATAAGAGACGTCGTAACCTTCTTATACGTAGATTATCATATGGAGTAGAAACTATACTGTGCTTCCACTAGAGGGTAGATTGGAACCAATGAGTGGTAGTTTTGTTCAAGTTGAAGAATTATTTTGTCAGCAAGGATTACTATCTCCAAATGGATTGGTTCCTTGTGAGATGGTCAGATCCCCATTCCTGTACATTTCTAAGCAGTGCCTCTACCAACCAGATGTTGGCAATAGGAATTCCTTCATCATGTGGATTATTAAACTAGATGAATATTTTTGGTTTTCAATGCAAATATTTGATTATTCTATGAATAATTCATTTTAAAAATGTTTTCTCTGGTCATTAGTATATAATTTTTTTTTTGGTATAGAGAATCTACACTTTAATGTGCTGATTTGCATTGTATGTGGAAGAGAAGGGGAGAAGAGAGAGAGAAAGAAATGGAGCTTTGATTGAGTTTCCCACAGGTGTATTACTGTGTTATAATACAGCAGTCATTCATGACCCTGTCCTTCCTTCCTTTAAATATCCCAGTTGGTCCTATCAAAGACACCCCAATAAAAACTTAGAAACAAGTTGGAAGTAATCTCTTCTTCAGACTCCCATCTTTCTTATCTAGTCTCTCTTATGGGACTTGCTAGAATATACACATTCTGTACTTGTTACATATCTCATTTCTGCTAGTAAAGAAGATACTAGCTCATTGAGACCAGGGACTCAACTTTGTTTTCTTACAACCTAAGATGGTACCTAGGAAAGAGTAGGCACTAAGTAAACATTCCTTGAATTGAACTGAAAAGGTAATTGATCTATCATGAAATCTGTGGAGGATTTTGATAGTAGGGAATCGATGTCATAAGCTTTTAGTGGAAGAGATGGGAATATTCACAGCTAACTTTGATAAAGGTTAGCGGTAACACTGAGAAAAGTGTTTGGGGAGTTACGGAGAGGGAGACAACTGACTTAAGCAAATCTGAAATGAAGAGCTTGTCAGTTTACCAAGCCTTGAAAATGGGTTAGAAGCTTGAGAGCCAGAGAAATGGAGAGGACATTCTAGCTAGGAGGAAACTGTGTAAGCAAAAATCTACTGAGGAGGAAACTGTGTAAGCAAAAATCTACCGAGGAGAGAAAGTACACGACTTGCCCAGGAATGGTGATCAGCTCACTGAGGCTAGAATAGAGGAGCCTTTGGAGGTTTTTATGGAAGAGAGTGACATGATCAGCCCTAGGAACAAGGGAGGCAGTGATCAAAGAGAATGGATAGAATTTGAAAGACGGCTTAGAGATAGAATTGGTAGAGTTTGGTGAACACTTGAAGGTGAGGATGGTAAGGTGGCATCATTGAGGACTTTAGGGCTTCTCGTTTGGTTGACTGGGAGGTGGTGTTAATGGAAGTAGGGAATACAGGAGGAGAAGAGGGGCAAGACAGCTTAGTTTTGGTCGTGGACAGTTTGAGATACCGAGGTATAACTGTATGAGTTATCTGCCAGCTAGTAGGCTGTGTAAGTCTGGATCTTAGGAGAGTTTTAAAGCTGAATATACAGATTTTTGATTGATCAACTCATGGGACTGGATAAAATAAATAATCCCAAGTAGAGTTTAGAGAGAAAGGAGGAGAGAAAGGCCAAGAACAGAATTTCAAGATTAGTTAAAAGAAGAGAAGGCTGAGGTAGGAGTGGTCCACAGAAGTGGAGTAATCACGGGAGAGTGTTGTTTCTGAGGCCACAGAAGGAGAAAGTGTAGAGAAAGAGAGATGGTCAGATGCTACTGAAAGTTTAAACAAATACAATGGGAACCAAGAATTTGGCAATTTGGAGATCATGGGGGACTTCAGAGGATGATTTCAGTAAAGAAGTGGGGTCAGTAGCTGGATTAGATTGAAGAAGAGTAATTGTGTTTTAAGCAGTGAAACAGCAAGATTTTAATTTCATGAAATTTAAAGATGAAGGAAAAGAAAGATACAGATAGTCATTTATAGAAGGGGCAAAGAAAGATTTTGTTTAGAGAGTTGAGGGTATGAATTCAGAGAAGGAAGACTGAAGGGATAAGAGAGAAGATTCACATAAGGAAGGAAAGTTCCAGAAGAGGTACAGTAAATGTGATCAAATGCAAATATGTAGAGTGTGGCCTTAAAGCGAGTAGAGGGATGCTTAAAAAGAAATCTGGACCAGGAAGAAAGTGGATAACAGTCTCCTAAGTATTTAGTCTCGTGTGCTGCGTATGTGTTAACACAAGCATCTTTCTTACCAGGCGGCAGCAGTTGCCCTTTCCTCCCTGATTCATGCTTTGGATGAATTAGACATGGTGGCTGTAGTTCGATATGCTTATGACAGAAGGGCTAATCCTCAAGTTGGTGTGGCTTTTCCTTATATCAAGGACGCCTATGAGGTAAGACCTGCAGGTTTTTATTCACATTATTTTTTTCCCCCTTCAGTTCTTGATTACAAACAGTGCTCCTCAACTGTTAACGTGCATGGGAATTACCTGGGGGGTCTTTTTTAAAAGGCAGGTTCTGATTCTGTAGGTCTGGGGAGGGGGCCCTGAGATTCTGCACTTCTCACAAACTCCCAAATAATGCTATTGCTGTTTGTCTGTGAACCACACTTCCAGTTGCAACGAAAGAACACAAATTGTAAAAGTGTGCAAGGAGCTTTTTGTTAAATTAGTCAAGGTTAACCATGACCTTCTGTTTGCCCAACCAATCCAGTGACCTCTCCCTTGTCATCCTTCTTGACTTCTCAGAACCTACAGAGAATACAGATTACCTGCCTTTCTGCAGCAGTCTTTAATATGGATAAAGATTGAGGGTGTGATTTTATTTGTGATCCTGGTGAAATATTTAGGGCTCTCCTATTTAAAATACAGGTGTAGATTCCTTGCCATTTCCTATTTCTCAGAGAACCTACTGTAGCAGAAGTGGAATGAGAAGGCAAGTGACTTGACTTCCACATCAGCCTGCCAATCACCGAGACTCTTCTCATGTGTTATGTTGGTTATGCATTTTGTAGCTATTCTTTGATAGTCTTTCTTTTAAGCATTTCTTCTATGTTTAATATTCTTACAGAGAACTGGTTG